GATAGTTGTACAGAATTTATGACAAATGTACAGTTCATGACAATCGTACAAATGTTATGACACTTTACAGGTCATAATCAAATGTTTAGGCTTAGGTCTGATGTGGTCAGTACTTAATATGGGAAAGCCAGACTTAGTAATTTTTAATAAAATTAAACTGTTTATATATTTATTTTTCTATTTTTATCTAAAATCCTTGATACACTAAGTCTTGTTATCTTTATAAAGATAAACTTAAAAATAGCAGGGAACTCTTTGCCTTGTTCCATGCAGTAGGTACAAAATAGAATTGATGCAGAGATCGTTAGATAGATATATATTGATATATGGTTAAATCAATATTATAGATGGATATAAAAATATGATAGTTAGAAAGATAAATGAATAGATAGATAGAAAAAAGAGGTATATAAATGAATAGATGAATAGGTAGATAAATAGATAGACATGGATAGATAGATTCCTACCAAGGTTTGTTACTAAGGGCTTATAGCTGCAACGCAAAAATGCATCCAAGACCACGTTTTCTTTCTATATCTATCTGTCTATCTATCCTAACTTTAGTCCAGTTTATTAAGTATACAACTCGTATCTATCTATCTATCTATCTATCTATCTATCTATTTATCTATCTATCTATCTATATATCTACCTACCTAACTATCTATCTACCTAGTTATTTATTTCTTAAGCTAATTTACAGCTATTTAGCAAGCTATCTATCTGTTTATCCATCTTTCCATTTGCTTATCTATCTATTTATTTATCTATCTATCTAAAACTTGTCTGTGTTATCAAGATATTTGTGACCGTAAACTATTATTTCTGTCTGTTCTCTCAAATACAAGTTTTCAGTTCTTCTTTCCATCTCACAGTGTTAACATTTAGATCAATTTAATAATCTAGAGGATTTACAGGGACTGTACACGTTCATTTAAAGGGACTGTACACGTTCATTTAACGGGACTGTACACTTTCATTTAAAGGGACTGTTCAGTTTATTTAAAGGGACTGTACACGTTCATTTAAAGGGACTATACACGTTCATTTACGGGACTGCACACGTTCATTTAAAGGGACTGTACACGTTCATTTAAAGGGACTGTACACGTTCATTTAAAGGGACTGTACACGTTCATTTAACGTAGCGCATTTTTGATTCACAACGGTAACCATTCAATTTATATCTGAATAATGAAGAAGATTTTTTTTAAACTTAAAATTCTGATATTTCCCCCCTTATATCGGAAACAAACGAAACCAGAGATGAAATTAATTATTCCTGGGTGAATATCATTGATAAGACAAAGCTTTAAAGGATACCGTTGTGAATCAGACATGCCACTCTAAAAATTAAGGTTACTTGAAATTACGTCAACGAAATATTTGCCTGTTATCATTTGAATTTAATAATTTTTCTTTTTTTAATAGAAACTAGCAGTGGAAAAAAATGAAAATTTAAAATAATAAATTTTAAATTTATTTTAGCCATTAACATTCCCCGGCCACCCATGAGTGTCCACAAAAAAAAATCAGCCCAATCAGTCCAGCCGTTTGGCCGGCTATACGCAACATTTATACGAATGTCTTGTTTCATTATATAAGCATAATTAATAGTATTATTTGTAAGTTCGTATCACGTGACCAGAACTCCAACCAATTGCAGTGCAGATACTACTGGTCACGTGATTATGAAATTCTTAGGTTTCACCCTTTCATTTTCCTTTTACATTCCCTTTAAATCCTCTTATTCATGGCAATTTAAAAGTACCGTGTATAAACTACCTGAAGAAACTATAGAGTTGTCCTTGTCTTAACAGTTGTTGCATTATTTCAGAGCTTTACAGCTTTTCCCTTTAAACAAAACTAACTACAATGAATTATATCCTGTATGCATATTTCAGTCATATTCTGAAATAGAATTCTATCTGTCAAAGATAGCGAAAAGACTTTATATACTCCTAGCTCTAGTGCACGGCAAAAATGTCGATTTATTTAGCCTACTTCCCGGGCACCCATGAGTTTCCTAAAAAAGTTTTAGCCAATTTGGTCCAGCTACAGCTAGCACATAAACAAACATACATACAAACAATAAAATATATTTAAACATTTGAAATTATATTTGAACTGAAAAAAGTTGAAAATACATTATAAACAAATATATACGTATACAAGCTTTATTATATGGATATATTAAATATGTTGTCCAACAAAAAATTAAAAAATATCAAAAATGAAAAATATTTATTTAACGGGTAAAATGGGAAAATTAAGGTTCACTGACTTTTAAAAGGGCCTCATTTTCTGTTCCCCATATATAGATCTTTCGTACGATTTCATTTAAACATTTAGTTAGGAGACGACATCTATGGCATCAAGGGCTGGGAAGCTAACTTAGATATGACGCAAAAGACGACAAGGGCGCTTTGTTTATCAGTTAAAGGGACTGCAGTAAAATAAAAATGAAAGAGGGTAAAGGATGAAACCTGAGAATCTCAGGAGTTGAACGATACATATCTGATGTCCCTGTCTCGAGAAATTGACATAAAACTGTGTTAAAATCAAAACGTTTATATGTAAAATATATGTCCTTATCTCGTGACCAGAACCCCCTCCAATGGCAGTGCAGTATACTGGTCACATGATACATACGGAGACACGTGAAAAATACTGCACTGCCATTGGTTAGAGTTCTGGTGACATTTATATCTACTAAAAAAGAAAAATTATTAAATTCAAATAATAATAGAAGCAAAATTGAGTTTCTCAGGCTCCTCTGGGTTATTGTTGTTTTCAGATTAGTTGCGTATTTGTTGAATATGATCTGTTTAATGCTACAAATCTTATACAAAATCGTACATATATACGTTTTGATATATGTCTTATATGTATCGTTCAACCCCTGAGATTCTCAGGTTTCATCCTTTACCCCCTTTCATTTTTCTTTTACTGCAGTCCCTTTAAACTTTAACGCAGTAACATGATTTTACTGCGTATATTTTCTTGTTGTCTTAGAGGATTTAAAAAAATCAAAATTATTTTTGTGAAAATGTCATTTTTAATTTTGATCAATGGTTTCTTCGCTCTTTGGCAAACATTTGGGCCCAAATGTTTTAGCCTTTGCAGATTTTGAGCAAAATGTGTACTTGTGTTTTTATTTATTAATAGACTTTCATAAAAATTTAATAGAATTACATTTTTTAATCAACTTCTAAAAGAAATGTCACAAAAAAATATTTTCGCGGATTTTTCTAAGTACCAAAACATATTTTTGTTGATATATATTTGCATTTACTCACCCTGTATATCCTATTCACATATCTATTTAAATAACATAAATGGAATGATAATTGAAATATTATAAACTAGATAAAGTGCCCGGCGTTGCCCGTGGAATTATATCTATGTAAAGGACATAAATGGAATGATAAATGAAATATTTTTAACTAGATAATGTGCCCCGACGTTGCCCGTGGAATTATAAGAACAATTTGGAAATTTTTGTTTGAAAAAACCCATGGATCCCCTCAAAAAATGTCAGCCAATTTGATCCAGCCGTTTAGATGCAGCATATAGCTAACAACATAAAATATATATTTACATTCATATCTATATGAGAAAAAAAGTTTTTTAAAAATCCGGTTTCTACAGATTTATGGCACTTGTCTTTCAGTCATTCTTATTTTATCGAAAAATAAATTATTTAAATAAATCTATTTTTTAATTTGTTTTATCAAGGGACTGTAAACGTTATTTTCAGTTTTATAGTTTTAAACCTTTTCTTCTCAAGAATGCACGATATATCCTTATTTTTCTGCTAAAAAAACTGTAAATTTCAAGTGCAGTTTTCTGTAGAGTGACTTAAAGATTCATTGTAGATGATAAACAAAATTAAGAGAATTCAGCACATTTTACAGTCTAATAATGACAAAATTTTCCTTAACCGTTACTCAGATAGAGGGTGCAGGGTATCGTAGTGAATCGAAAAAATGGGAGTCACCTGAAATTATGTAATTTTAAATTGGGATATTACCCTAAAAAGTCTGCGTATTTATGAAAGGAATCTAATAATTTTAAATTGGAATATTACCCTAAAAAGTCTGCGTATTTATGAAAGGAATCTAATAATTTTAAATTGGAATATTACCCTAAAAAGTCTGCGTATTTATGAAAGGAATCTAATAATTTTCAAAAGATAATTAAGCAAACTTGTTTTAAATTTTTTAAATCTTGATTATTTTATACCTTAAACCTTCCAGCCTAATGCCTCAAAAGATTTTTTTCGATAATAATATAAAAATCTTTAAGGGAAACTTTAAGATTCTTAGAAATAGCTTTCAATTCGGGGTAATTTACAGCGGCTTCGAAATGGAATTGAGTCTTTTCAACAAACTTAAATTCTCTTTGCAACCTAATGGTGTAAACTTTTCTTTTTTGATTTAATACCAATTCTTTTTTAAAAAATATCTAAGGTCTATGCCATTGGGTTGCAATTCATTTACATGTTGTTATTAACAATCTAAACAATATGTCTACTTTTTGCACAGGACATCCATGTAGATAAAACCCTGTGGAGCGGAAAAGTCTAAGATAAGGTCGGATAAAAAATCGGTTTAAGATTATGGGATAGTAAAGATTGTTCTCATTCTGTTAACCTTCTCAGACCAACACAGTGACCCAAAGTGAACTTATGCAATCATTTAATTAATCTCACAATTCACGGATTACTTGGTGTCAGGCATTTTTTTGTCTTCAAATATGAAAATAATTAAATAAATTCTGTTCTTTAGAGTGAAGGAGATTGTGTATGTGATTTGAACCAATCTTAACAAAGAACTCTTATACAGATTTTCGACAAGAATATATAATATAAAGAGTTTAAAAAATAATTTTAATCACGCAATAATAAAAATTGTTTTTTAAATCAATGAAATGAAATTATGAGCCCACAATTTCTTTAAGAATTTGATAAAATTAATAATTTCAATATTTTCAGATGGGTAAAAATACGAAGAAGAAGTTAAAATGGAAGAATCTCGATGAGCCTGAATCAAAGGAAAAGATTGATTAAAGCATCAGAGTCTGAAAGAGATCTTTACTTTAGAAAACATAGAAAATAGTGTTGCCTCTTTAAATATATCATTTACTCATAGACAAATTAGAATCAATAGAAAATAGCCCCTCCTCCCGAGGGATTCAATGATAATCCAAAAGGTTTATCAGTGAATCCCATGAGCCATGGTTTAAATTTCTGTTGATTTAATTAATGGCATTCTTTTGTAAGAGTTGGTTTCAACATGGACCCATGCATAAAGAAATTTTTAGGTATTCAATGATAGTTGCAAACCAAAATGAACAGCTTTTTAAAAAGCAATTTTGGTATTTTGATTCACCAATCCCTAATTCACTAATCACTAATTCACTAATTTTTTAATTAAAATTGTACTCAAACTCAGAGGGACTGTCTGATCAAGTATTAATTAGATATTATGCATGTTTTTGTAAATCCAGCACTGCTATCTTTGCATGGAAGGCCTTATAAAACTACGCTATAACTTAAATTTAATCGGTGTGCTGAACAGACTCCTGAGGAATCCCAAGATCATCCTTTCCTGAAAATATTCTCTAAGAACATGGATGCTATTATAAGGAAAGATTCTGTATTCTCAGCAAACAATAAACCTGACCCAGCACTTTTTACAGGCAATCCACTCCACTACCAACACAACCCAAATAAAAGGTATTTTGAATACAAGCCAAACCTGATTTTTAAAAATTTCATTGTTGTAAGTTTTGAATGATACAAGGTGTCCCATGAAACTGTCTGGGATCCAAAACATGACAGTAGAAAGACAACCTTCAAGTCATCTCACTACTTTCATGTTTCGCAGGAAACCCGTTATCTCTGGTTGGCATGGATGCTATGTTCTCTCTATTCTTCTTTATATAAATAAAGATAGGAAAATCTTTTAGGACGTCGTAGTTACAGGGGTAACAGCATTTTATGCTTTTACTTTTAACATCTAAATAAACAAAAAGAAAAAAGAAATAAAGTTATGGTGGCCTTCTTCACTTGGTAGAGAATAATCTAAACCTCTCCCAAACAACAGTAAGAAAACTCTAAAACCTTTTTTTGGCATTTTTATTTTATTTTGTAGGTTAGAACATCCATTGGCGGATTCGAAGACAATTTTCTGTTATACAGATGAAAAAGGTGTTACATATTTCTCCCCATCTCAGCAGGATGGCAGGGAGTTCAAATCCTTCAAATATGTTGAGGTTAGAATTTAAAAAAATCTATTTTAGAGATAGGTTTCTAGAGTTAGATTAAATTAAAAAAGGAGCATGGAATATCATGGAGAAGGAATCAACCCTGCCCGCCCTACCATATGATTATACATGCTTTGCAGACAGTAATCCATTTGAAAAAGAGTTTTTTTATAGGTCGTTTTATAATTTTTCAATTTGGCTTTTTACTTTACAATCTTAAATAAAACCGATTTTTTAAATTATAAAAAAAATATGTTTTGTTTGGCGTTATTCAGCCTACTTTTTCCCCCTTTTTAATGTTTACAATAACCTATTTTGAATACATGTATTGCGTATCAGACAGTAATAGAAAGCATATTTTTTATTCAACATGAAGTACCGTATGCAAAGCATATATAATCATGTGGTATGGCAAGCCGGGTAGATTCCATCTCCATGATATTCCATACTCATTGGTGGTCAGAGACTGAATTTATAAATATCTAGTTTAATTAGCTTTTGCTGTTAATTACTATTAACCTCAAATCATATATTTTTTAGGCTATGGTCACTAATTTCTACCTCAATTCACATATCATTATGAAAAGAGCAAAATTTAGATTTTCTAATTTAAAATGAGACATACTTTGTACCAGGAGAGAAGCCATTTTAAAGCCAAATAATTTTTCTAATAGATTTTTTTCTAGGAGATTCAGCATAATGGTACCATTTACTACAAATATCTGGATGAAGGGGAGAAAGAAGACACCGGGGATATTCATGAAATTAATGTTCAAGATTCTCTTCCTCAACCTATCCACACAAAGCTACCTCCTTCATTTATAAAAGTACAGGTTTTTGTTTCATGTACTTACAAAACAGTTAGCAATTATCAGTGAGAATGTTCTTATCTTACCAAACAAATACATTTGCATCTGATCTTTGGCCTTTGTATATAAAAAATAGCTTATTTAACTGTAAATATTTGTTTTGAGTTACAAGATTTTTTTTACAATTTGATAAAATATAAACATAATAATCATATGAAATCCTTGTCCCAGATTACCTCAAATTAAACAGGTTTCAAACAGTTTATGATGAGAACAATTCTAAAAACAGTATTACTCAATTTTTAGAATTATCTGCCAAAGTTCTTAGTTGAAATAAACATGTTTTAGAATGGTTCAGACAGCAATGAATGCAGAAATCATCCTCCAACAGTAACACCCCATAACTGCTGTGAACCATCAAAGCACCCTCCTTCAACCTATTCCACCAACTTTAGTAGTCCAAGTCCAGTGTATTCCATGCATCAACCAATGATACAACAATTACCCCCTACATATGTTGGTTCCACCAATCAGCAGATTACAGGATCTAACCCTCCTCCAATTTCTCTGTATCCTGGTGTCTCAGAACAATTAAACTATGGTTCTCTAGTCAGTATGCCTCCTCCCCAAACTATGCCAATGCATCCACAGCAGGCATATATTCAACATCCCCCAACCACCAAGTTTCAACTCTCTAATTCCACCATAATACCTAAACAAGCTCCAACGGTGCCAATGCCATTGGGTAATCAGTCAACTGTCATCCACACATATAATCCACATGTTGACCCTAAATTTATCAATGCTCCTCCATCTTCTTGTTTACAATACAATACAAATAGTTTTGTTTCCTTGCCTGTTCAACAAACAGCTCCTATCCAAGGAACAACAGATTTTCATGTGCAATATGTTCCATTTTATTTTTACTACCCAGTTCCTGTTCCATGTGCCTCAAAAACTGCATTTACACCAACCTCCACATGCTCAGTAGAGCCAGTTCAAGAACCGGTTAGAGAACAAAGTTTACAACCAGCTGTTGAGTCAGAGATATCATTAGAAGGTGCTGAATCTGAACAAATTCTAGATGATATGGAGGCTTGTGAGGCAGGATCTTTGAATGATAATGAGGTAACTTAGTTTCCTTCTGCTGAGGTCTGACAGACAGCACAAAGTTTCATTGCTTATTTTTAAAACCCGAAGATAACCCTACTGTTGGAGTAAATGTTTAAACTGGAATGAAGATAGAGTTTTTTGTTATATAAAAAGTAAGAGCAAGATTTTAGTAGCAACTTTGTGTATGTGTATGTGTCCCCCCACCCTAACTATAATAATTTTTTTCTTAGGAGCTTACTGATCTCTTGCACCTGTGTGGTAAAAGCCCCAACCTGAAATCCCAGGTGACCTATAGTTTTCTTTGCTTTTTTAGATTTTTTTTGCTGATTATCAAAACAAAAAATTTAGGTGTCCAGCTCGAGCTGTGATTCATGTATTTCTTCTGATCTTAAACATGTTAAAAGAAAGAGAAGGAAAAGAAAAGAGGTTGAGGAGAAAAGGCAGGTCAGGATTGATAAAGACTGGGTTTGGTCTGATCTAATCTAGCTTTGAATTATAGTTTGAATTAAATTCTTTGGGTTTACAAGCATTTATTTTCTAGCATGATGAAAATTGAACTAAAAGTATGAAGGTTATCTAAAATACTTTAAAGAGCCCCAAATCTGCAACTTGTTTCTTTTTGCAATTGACACAACATATGATGTTAGATACACTAACCTACTTTGGCTTTAATAAATAAGGTCTTTTTCAAAGGATTATGATGATGATTCTGGTTATTTAAATGGAACTGAGTCTTCAGATCAAGGTAGTAAACAAATATCAAGGAATTGATTGATTGTTTGATTAACTGTTTCTTCTTACAGAGAATGTGGATAGTGGTTTACAAATACTAGATGCAATAAATGAAACCCAACAGGTGTGACCAATCAAAATATTAAATTTTGGTTCAGAGTCCTCAACAATATTTCTAGTGTAGATAAGTCCCAAATTATCATTATAGATAATTGAGCTTTATATATTCCAATTTACAGTTGACCAATTTTAATTTATGTATCTAATCTTATTTAATTTACATAGGAAAGTATCATTGACACTAATTATGAGAAGTCTGGAGATGACTCAGAAGTTGAAGCACTAATTACTGACAAAATGATTGAGGATTTAGAAAACCCTGCCAATCTTGCCCAGATCTCATTTGGAGATGTAGAAATGGAAAACATTCTTGCCAACAATACTTGCCAACAGAAAACTCAAAATGAAGAATCACAAGTATCCCCCTCTTTTGATAAAGTAACTAAAAATGTAAGTTCTATGAGTAGTTCTGTAGAGTTGCCCAATCTGTCAGAATCAATGACCAATTTTGAACAAATAAGTAATCCTTTGCCTCACATATTGGATCCCTTGGAAAAATCCAGAAATGAGATAAATTCAACAAATACACCATCAGTTCAGGAAACCTGCACAATTCAAGAGGAAAATGCACCAAGCATAAAAGAAAATCTTCAACCACTCCCAAATCTTGAGAAAATTGAAGACTCATGTTGTTCTGGCACAGGTGAAGATTCTATTGTTGAAAATATGTCATGTAAAAATATTATTGTAAAAGAAGTTGATGAGCTCCCAGTTCTTAAATCTAAAGAAGAAGCGCAAACTAAACACCAAGTAGGTGAAACTGTGATAGAAAATGAAGATTTCGAGCTTAATGTAGTAGACTACCCCTCTGAGCTTAATCCTGAAATAAGAAGTTATCTTCATGTAACAAAAACTAACTTAAAAACGGCAAAAATAGCTAATACTGTAAAAGACAAGGAGAATCAAGAGGATTATGTGGAAGTCCAAGAAAAGAAAGTAGAGAATGAAGAAATCAAACAGGAACGGAACCATATGCAGGAGCAGATCAAAGAGGGTAAAGAAAAAGGACTGAATGAACAAAAATGGGAAAGAGCTGATGAAGATTGTTTAGAGCTGAGTGCTCCAGATATTGCTAGATTAGACCTTGAAGAAGAATGGGTGGAGGTTCCTGTCTCAAGGTAGAAAAATTTCAAAAAATGCCTAAGTCAAATTTCTTATTTTTTTTTGTTTTAGGAGAAAAAATCACAATACTCAGCCACAGAATGTCTTGCAAGAAGAAGTGCCAGAAAAGAAGAATTCCAAAAACAAGACTAAAAAGAAGAAATCTAAACAAGCAACTGTGCAGGTATGATGTTTTTTGAAGTTTTGGACATGGATTTATATTTTAATCATTTAGGGTATGCTTGACAAAGAAAAGATGGAGAAAGAGGAAAAAACAAGATTTCTAGCCTTTAAAGAATCCTTTCTTAAGGAGAAATCAGTTGAAATCATCCAACTGGGATTAGAACAGACAACTGAGAGAGAGGAGGAGGTAGAGTTAAACATGGAAAATGAAAACAAGAATCAGAAACATACAGAAAAAAGTTTGATAGAAAAAGAAAAGGTGAATATTAAAATTTTAAATTCAAGATGTTTTACAATGTAGCCTAACTTATCATGAATTTAGGACCAATTTTCATTTTATGCATGATATTTTTGAAGCCAGCTTAATTAGCTTTAATTTAAGGTTAAATTTTTAGGTTATTCCATCTAAAATTATTTCTGATTTTATTAGGAGGCCATTGTAAAACCAAGAGAGGAGAAGAAGAGAAAAAAGAAGAAAAAAGTTGTGATCGAGATAGAACAGGAGCTGGAGAGCATAGAAAATAAGATGGAGATTATTAAAACAAAGACAGATGAGGCAAAGAAGAAGGTGGAGATGGACAAGGAGAAGACAGAAAAGATTGAAAAGAAGCAACAGCAGACTGAAAAGAAGATGGAGAAGATTATAAAGAAGACGGAGAAGGTTGTAAAGGACATTGAGAAGGTTGAAAATTTGAGCAAGGATGATGTTGTCTTCTCTGAACCAATGATTCTCTCCACTGGCGAGTCAAATTTAGTCTACTATCCATTCAGGTGTGTACAGGGATGTAAACTGCATATAGATTAATATTTTTTTTATTTTCGAGTAATTAAATTTTAGAAAACATGTCTCCTGGCTAACGGTTAATGCATGGTTTTCCAAATTGGTCTGTCCTTCTCTAACTACACAAATGCTTCAATCCCTTACATAGCCTTTTCCATGAGGCTCTATTAAAAGATTTTAAACACACAGCTCAGTGGGTCTGGAATTTACATACTTATGTTCTAAGGAATCCAATGTTCATTCTATTTCTACATTGTTAGAAGTAAGAACCTAACATTTTATTCATAATATTATGGAAGCATTTCAAAAGTACAAACATTTTGTTTGACATTATGAGCAGATTGTTGCCGATATTTCAAAATTTTTTATACCAAGCAATATATTTATGATTTAAAGATCCTACTATTTCATTGACTTATTTAGAACAAACATGATGACATGTATGAATCTGGGGATAAACATAATAAACAATGAGCTTATTCCTGCCCTCCCAGTTCAAACCTTTGAGGAACAGTATGTCAGAGTACATCTTAAACTCAAGGATGTTCATTCCGTCAGGTACTATAATTGAGTACAATACTTGTTAAACAATATAATCTATTGTTCTGTTTGTTTTTTAAACCAAGTAAATTCAGAGCAATTTTTTATTCAAAGAGGGGTATACATTTTCCTGCATAAGCGCCCCCCTCTCCCCATCTTTTACAAAAAAAAACTTCTTCACAGTATTAAGAAAACTTGGTTCAAGTATTTTTTTGTTTAAATTAAGGCTTTTAAGGAATATTTTTTTTGAGTGGGGGGGGGGGAGGGGTGAAAAACATTTTTGCTGAAGTCTTTTATTTTTTGGTCAGATCTTCCTAACCTAACCCTTGAAATCAGCACAAGCATTTTTTCTTTAATGCCTTTGATGAACTCATTCTGCTTTAACAAGACTTCACAGGTTCTTTTATTTAGACGAGGAAGTGAAAGAAATGTTATTTTGATCCGAGATCAACAAATCAGTTCTAGGAACAAGGAAAAAACAAGGAGAAAGATCTCTAACAGGTATCCATCATTAGATTCTTAAGATTTTAATATTTTATGAGAAAGGGGGAAAATAGACATGGTAGGATTAAAAATTAAAGAAGTTTCAATTATATTTATGTTTTAATTATCAACATACTGTGGTTTTCAAGTTTTGTTTTGCAGACATTAAAGGGACAGTAGACATAATTCAAAGTGACCCTCCATATAGTGGCATGTGCAAGTGCATTTCAAGAAAGAAAAATTTATACATCTTCCTCATTCTTACTTAAATAGAAGTTTAAATGTCACTCTTAAATAGCGTGTCACTTGAAAATTATACTACATTTCAATAATATAAATATAATATAATATATATAATATAAATAAAATATCTGTTATGATCCCATATACTAACAAAACTATGTAAACAAAATCAAAACTTAATTCTCTTTAGACAAACTGATATTGTTCCTGGACCTATGATTCACTTTAAATCCAGAGGTAAACAAATATTTGCAGTACATTAGCATTAAATTTGCAGTACAAATTTGCAACTATATTTAAAGAACATTCTTAGTGAGCTGAAGTTTATACTTTAAAGGGGATTGCTTTTTTGGCTCCTGCTGCAACTACTACAAAGTATATTCCATAATATTTCTATGGATAAACTATCTATCTATTCTAGGTTTAATCCATCTATCTATCTATTCTAGGTATAGGTGGAGGTGTTCTTGGTATGAAAAAAAGCCTTGTTCCTCCCTCTTCCCTAGTAAATAGATTATCTATATTCTAACTCAAGATATCTAAAAAGATAAATAAATTTTTTAGAACTTTTATTCATATCTTAATTAATTGATTTTTTTTGCGACCCACCCTATGATTTATCCCTTAAGACTTAAAATAGGGGAGTGTATAATTTTTGTTACATTTTTCGATCCTCGTTGTTATTGAATAATTTAATAAGACCGATTCTCAAAATCATCCCTCCAGAAAGGACAATCCAGGAGAATTTAAGAGAGTGGATTTGCGCTCTTGCTGATGAAAATAGTTTACCGCAAAAAAGTCTCATAAGTCAAAGTTCTCAAATGAATCCTGAAAAGTTTCTCTACAATACTGCACTCTTAACTTGCAACTACTATATCTAACCGGTCACTCCCTTTAAGTGAAATGGGTATGTACGCTGCACAATTGCTTATGTTTTCAAATTCATTTTAACTTAGTCTCAAACTTTCCTAAGGACAATTTAGTTAAAATAACATCCACTTAGCCAAGTTTTTGTGAAAAACTTCACGCATTACATCTCAAAATACGAAAAAATGATAAAACTACTTTTTTGGGAGAAGATTAAACATCATCCCAAAATATGTTTCCCTCGACTAAAATTGGGATCTGTCAAACGCAGTTACGTACTCGTGCCGAAATGAATTACAAGAAGAGAGATTAGTATATATTTTAGGGTTAGGTTAGGTTAAGACCCTTTTGGGCTGCGCGCTGTGGCCAGGACTGGCTTGGGGGCCGAGCGCTCCGGCTAGAACTGTCTCTCTCCTTCTTATAATTCGTTGCGGCATGCGCACGTAACTGCGTTTCTCCGCTACCACTAAAATAGGTTTAGGGAGTCTTCTTAATTTCCCTATAAAGTAATTGTAAATAATATTTTGCCCTGAATTGGAGAAAATAAATAATATTTTGCCGCTGAACTGAAGAAAATAAATAATATTTTGCCGCTGAATTGGAGAAAATATATAATAAATAAAAAACCTACCCAGCTAATCAGCAATTCTTTTCCACCTCTTAAAAATTCTTTAAACTTTATATCCCTGGGATCTAAATTTCTTTGGATCATTAAAAACACATAAATTTGGATGCGCAGCACTTAACATGGTAATCTATATAATTAAGCTCTTAGGTCGTATATATAATGAAAAAACAATCTGTTTATTAATTATCAGATACTATTATTTATATCATATTGGGTTATCTTCAAGCTTTAATGATTCCTTATTTAAAAAAATCGGAAGTTGGAGAAAAATCGATTTAAAATTGTATACGAATATATAAAAATGTTAGCTGAAGCTGGAAAAAACGGTTGAACCAAATCGGCTGAATTTTTTTAAGGGAACCCATAGTTACCCTGGGAATAACAAAGACTAAAAATTAGAATTTTTATTTTCAGAGATAAATATTCTCCGATTTTTAAAAATGCCTCGGGTAACGTGCTAGAGAACCCATGGGTAACTTGGGGGTAACATAAGCAACAAATTCAACCTTTTTTCTTGACAACTATCTATTTAATTCATCAAAAATTCGATTTTTTTTAATTCCACGGCTAACGCTGGGCACTCTGGCCAGCTTTTTAAAAATCTTTTTAACCAAATTATTGTGTAGAAATGGGTTTCTTCTTTATTATATGTATAGTGTAAACAACATACAATAAACATTATACAAGAACATGAGCAAATTTTTTTATTTTTAAACATAGCTGATAAAGGTAATTTTAAATAGAAAAAATAGAATAAAATAAGTAAATAAATGGTGTAAGGTTAATGAATGCAAGGTAAGACTTTCTAAAACTCACGTAGATAATCTAATTAGATAACTCACTTAGATTATTCACTTCAGGGGACGGACATTAGTTACAAAACTAACACTTGGCCCATTTCTAACACTGAGTGTTAATAATGGGCACAAATTGAAAGACTGGGTTTTTGGGATCCTGGCCCATATCCAGAGTAAAAGTCGATATAAAAACTATAACCAACATTTTATTAAACATGACGAGGACAACAATTCCCAATTTTAAACTTCTGTTTGAAAATCAAAATTTTTATATGAAAGCTCTTGACCGTTTAAGATAATGTTAGGTTTTCCATTTTCGAACATATCCTGAATTTGAAACATTTCCGCGTTTTCGAGACAAAACCCACTTTCCCGTTTTTGAGTAAAATCCACAATTCAAAATAAACTAACTTTCATAACTTACAAAATAAATCACTGAAAAAAAATATCTTATTTAGAATAAATTAACTTCTGAATTATTTCTAGAATCTAAGTTTCCACATTTTATCTGTTAAATTAAATATGAATGATTTAATTTCAAGCATTTTAAACAAACTAGCTAAATCTATATTGCAAACAAACAAATGATATTATTATTTTGATTTCACAATGCTGTGATTATTTTTAAATTACTAGCCTTAGAGGGCGCTTCGCGCCCATTATAAATTAATTGTGAACATGTTCTCTTTGTGTACATCATAAAACAAACACAAAAATAATTCGCGGATTTTCACAAAATATTTCGTGGATTTTCAAAATTTTCAAAAATTTAATGAAGATCGAATTTTGATGGAGACAAATATTTGAAATTTTGATCATTCATAAACCTTCCCTAGAGTCCCTAGATGTCCCACAAAAAATTTGGGCCCGATCGGTTCAGCCGTTTTGACGTTTATTTGATACAAACACACAGACAGACAGACAGACAAGCCAAATTTATATATAGATATATACTATTACCCTGCAATATATATATTCTTATATATACTTATATCCTGCAATATATATATTCTTATATATACTTATACCCTGCAAATATATATTCTTATATATACTTACTAGCCTCTTCTAAATTAATTGTGAACATGTTCTCTTTGTGTACATCGTAAAAAAAAAAATAATTCGTTCGCGGATTTTCACAAAAAATTTCGTGGATTTTCAAAATTTTCAAAAATTTAATGAAGATCGAATTTTGATGGAGACAAATATTTGAA